TGAAGTGTCGTGAGTGTCTCATGGCCTGCAAGGAGCTGTCAGCTCATAGATACCAAAGAATGAGTAGAGCTTCCGAAGCTGCTTTTCTGCCCTGGAAAGTTCCATAGAAGTTTATGTGGTAATGGATCCTTCCCTGAATATTTCAGTGAACAGAATTTGTCTTCTAAGGAGCTTTGGTTTTTTTTTTTTATTACAGCAATGAGAATAACATTTAATTAGTAATGTGATATTTATTTTTACTGGAACAAATTTTGCTTTCTTACAACTTTTAATTGTTCATTAGTCCTTCTATTCAAGGCATCTAGCACAAATCTAATTGCTCTTTCTTGATATTACTAACACGGAGGCCAAGGTTTAGTAATTTAAGTCCTATCTGAACATGCTGTTCTGTATCAATTATCTTTCTGTTGCTGTGATAAACGGCATGGCCAAGACAACTAAGGAAGAGTGAGTTTGTTTTGGCTTACCATCCAGAGGCTTAAGAGTCCCTGCTGGAGGGGAACATCAGCTGCAGACGCCAGCATAGTGGCCGGAACAGCAAACTGAGAGCTCACATCTTGAACCACAAGCACAAAGCATGTCACAAACATGTAGGGTAAGACTGTAAACACCTAAAGCCCACTTCCAGTGATATACTTCCTAGAGCAAGACTGCACTCTGAAATCTCTCCAAACACCACCACCCACTGTGGGAACATCCTCATTGAAACCATTACACCTGATGTCTCTCACTTTGAGGATCTTTGGTCATGGTCTTTGGGGTCCTTTTCTTGTCCTTACCCTTTCTGAAGATGGGTGTGTTCAGGGCTCTTCCATAATTCATGCTGCATCTTCTTTGTTTGCTTGGTTTGGTGGGCTGTTGCTATTGTCCTGAATGACGCTTTTCTCAGAAAGCCAGCATTGTCTCCTTTTGATAATTTTACTTAGTCCATATTGAACCTACAATGAAGCAATTTTTTTTAACGTTCACATAAAATATTTTCAGTGATTCCCTATTCTCGAGTTGAAGAAATTTGATCTTGTCTTATTTTTAGGCAGTCTGTTAAAATTTATTTTTTGGTTCCTAAGCTATTATTTCTCATTTAACTTATTTCCATTGTTCCATGCATAGCAATCACTACTAGTGTGCTCTTATTGGTAGTGATATGAAGCAGTTGCTAGACAAGTGTAGCTTTACAGTGACTGAGCAGTTTTATCCAGGTTGACTTAATGAACATCAGATTGTAGATAAGGAACTAAAAGTCCCAGTCTTCTTTATCTGACAAGAAAAAGAGTATACATTGAATGTTTAGTGTAAACCAGCTTACGTCACATGCAGGCATATAGATGGTAAGGTTATCTATTGAAATGCATTCATTTCAGTTCAAGAGACACCTGGCTTGACCAGGTCTAGTGCTTGGCAATATAAACAGAGACTGCACATTTGTTCCTGGCTGCCCAGGCCCAAAAAGTCACACAGAAACTATATTAATTACAACACTGTTTGGCCAATAACTTAGGCATATTTCTAGCTAGTTCTTACATCTTAACCCATTTCTATTAATCTGTATATTGCCACAAGGCTGTGGCTTACCAATAGGTTCTGGCATTTGTCTCCCTTGGCAGCTACACAGAGTCTCCTTGACTCTGCTTACTCTCTCTCTACATTTCTGTTCAGATTTACTGCCTGACTTTACTGTGCTAAGCCATGGCCAAAATAGCTTTATTCATTAGCCAGTAAAATCAATACGTATACAGAAGGACATCCCCCATCATCTTCCATTTCTGTCTAATTAAAAGGAAGGTTTTTAACTTTAACATAGTAAAATTACATATAATGAAACAGGTATCAAGCAAGAACTACAGTTACAATATTTAATCCATTTATATTTGGCAAATTAATGAAAATATCATTTATCCTATCTTTGTGAGTCTAAAGTTTTAGATTTAATTTATCCTTTATCATAACTAAGAAAAACTATATCTGTTTTTAACTCTTTAAAGACCCCAGAAAGATATAATATTACCTAAATAAACAAGAATTGTATTGTAAGTAACTTTCAAAGTTTTAGAATTGACAGAGACATCTTGCTCTTTCTGCCTGGACAGTCACCCAGAGGTGTTTTGTTTTTTTGTTTTTTGTTTTTTGTTTTTTGTTTGTAACATTGGGGAATCTATCTTTAGCTCCAATAGTTTAGAGGCCCATAGTATCTGACAGACTTTTTTATGAAGCAGGAAATTTGAAGATCTGTTTTGCCTTGTACTGGTAAAGTTTACCAATTGCTTTTTTCTGTGTCTTGCAAAATGTCTGGCAGTTTCTTCTGTGAAGCAGGAACCCTGAAGGACCATCCCATCTTTTGGAAGTTCAGCAGTCACTGTTTCTGTGGGTTCTGCATGTCCACTTTATACAGCATACTTTAAAGCAGTCTAGGCAAGAGCAGTTTCTTGCCCAAATGGCTAGCCTTGTCACACTGAAGGCAAATTTCATAATGACTTTCTTCAATCCCCATCTACCTCTCTGAAGTAATTGGTGCTGCCTAAAGCAGACATGTCTTACTGTCAAGAAAAGTCTTAAGTTCTTAAAACATTTTAAATGCCATATTTTGTAGTTCTTTGAAGTGTTGAATATTATCTAACTGAAATATATCTCTGTATATCTAGAAAACCTAACTAACATGACTACAAGTTTTACTATTATAATTGCTATTTATTAATCCATAATTTTTAAATTATATGTTACATTTTTCAATGAGCTGCATAAACACAATACTTTAAACAAGAACAGAAATACACACACACACACACACACACAGTAACAAATTGACCTTAAATTTGTATCAATAGACCAAAGTCCATACCAATGTAAAGCACTTATCTCTATATATTATATCTCCATTTAAATGAAAACAACCATTTATAAACAATCATTTTGAGAATTTGCACACAATTTTCTCCAAACTGCTTCCTGCTGTTGGGCAAAGTATTTTTAGGGTTTTTGGAGACCTTTTGGGGTCTTGTTCCATCAAACCACATTAGCGTGGACAGAATCCACGGGTTCTCATCTTCTGTGGAAACAAAAGTAGAACCTATTTTTCATAGTAACATAACTTTAGAGTTAAAATTTGAACTCAAATACCTTTATGTTGAATTAAGTTAGTAGTCCCCAGAAACAAATGTCTCTCCGTCAAAAAATTCAAAGAAAACACAATAATATTCATAATTTGTGTATATTCCATCTTTCCGTCGTTTATTTTTCTTTACTCCTTTAATCTATTTCTGTCTGCAATCTTCTATATTACTTAAAACCATTTACTTCTTTTTATAACTGTTTATACTTTCTCCCCTCTTTCTCCAAAGCCTAAGTACATTTTTAAAGCACACTGTCTCTTTTATTTTTGCCTGACTCTGTCTTTATTGTGTATATGTAATCATTTTCTGACCAGGAACGTCCCTACCCCCTTAAAATGCTAAGTGGGCATGACTAGGACCAACTCCACAGCCCTGCCTGTTGGTTCTGCCCCATCCAACATGGCGGAGGTATGTTTACCACCTCTGCTAGCCATGCTCACTGCCCCAACTCCAGGAACGCAGCAGGTCTATGTCACCATTAAGCAACTAGGCATTGCTCACAAACCCTGTTTAAGTAAAGGACCTGCTGAAAGAGTCAGCAGAAACCCGGCAGCACAAACCAGGAAGCTGTCTCTTAAAGAAGCCACACCTCTGCTTGCAACCAACAAATGAGCCTATCTGAAAACAAAACAAAAAAGTGACTACCAAGAAGCTGTGTTTGGCTCCAATTTTTGTGGGTCTAGAAGCCCTCTTTTTAAAGCTTTATTGGGCTTTTTTAGGTCTTATGTGGGTCCATGCCCCAGATGGTGGGTGCTATTTTATATACTTTGGGCGTGGTCTCGTGTACTATAAATGCAGACAAAAGGTGTTCATGAGCCTCTTAGCTGCTGGATTTGGGTCCAGTTCCCAGTGCATGCAGAGGACTGTGGATCGCTACTGTGAGTTTATCCCCAAATAAATAAGCCTTTGTTATACTCCATTCCGGGCTATTGTGGAACTCCTTTGTACGCCAACATAGCAATGGGAAACAATAAGAATTTCTTCCCTTAACACTGAACCTTTTTTTCTTTTTTAAATCTTTTTCTTTTTTAAATCTTTTTCTTTTTTGGTTTCTAAGTAGAATTGAATATTAAGACTGGCCTAGAACAGTAAATCTGGAGAAAATGGAGGCAAATAGAAACCTTTTCAAATGTGCCTATGAACTTTACCAAGCCTTGAAATCATTAATAATGTGTTGAAGAATGGTCATAGTGGAAAGGTCCTTGCTCTCTCTGGTTCTAGACCATGCAGCTTGATGGAGAGGTGAATGCAATACCCACGAGAGGTCCTTTTCTGCATTTCTATTTATTTATTTATTTGCTTGTTTGTTTATTTCTCCAAGTGTTTGCCTGCATGTGTGTCTGTGCAATGTGCACTGTGTTACTTTTTGCTTTTTGCTTGATAAAATACTGAGCTATCTGTCTTCAAACTACAGGAGTTATTTTTTGGTATCAGGATAAACTGTTGAAGTAAAATAATTCATTGTTTAATTGATGCATTTTAAAGTCTGGAATTAAGTTTTTAAGGTGACTTGTATGGATTTTGTGAAGTCCTGGCTATCATATTCAGTACCAAAGTAATAGATTCGAAAACAGGTTTGTTTAATATGTTATGAGTTTTAACTGCTATGTGATATACATTGCTCTTGTCCTATTCTGTTCATCACAGACTTGCTTTGCGATGTTCCTCATTTCTCAGACTATGGTATACTTGACAAATAAGGATTATATGTATTTATGGTGTACATTCTGTGTTTGAAAGTGCCGCCTTCTCCATTCTTACTGAACATAAGTATACTGATAACAGTCCTTTCTATATACTAGATCTGTGGTGCACACACTTGTTGATATTTCCCTGTTAAATTCCACAGGTTTTCATTTACCCCTTAACCTTTGCTGCTTTTTCTTTTAATAGTTTCTCAAACAGTTAGGCCTGCATCCTAACTGGCAGTTTGTTGATGTGTACGGGATGGAGCCTGAACTTCTCAGCATGGTACCAAGACCAGTGTGTGCAGTGTTACTCCTCTTCCCTATTACAGAGAAGGTAATTGTAAAGCAAGATACAGTTTTTGATATCGTGTTGAGACATAATCTCAAAAAACAAATGATGCCTTTGCTGCATATCATCATAAGGAAATACTAATGTCCTATTAAAGTAAAAGATTTAGATTATAGATTGACAGTAAAGCTCTGAGTTGCTCTTTTACCTTTAGCTGTTTTCCCTTAGAAGATATGGTTAGCTTGCTTCAGCTTTGGTTTGGTGCAGCACTTAATACCATTTTCATGAATATTCTTTGATTTTTTTTTTTTCCCCCTAAGACAGGGTTTCTCTGTGTAACAGTTCCAGCTATCCTGGAACTCACTCTGTAGACCAGACTGGCCTCGAACTCACAGAGAGCTGCCTTTCTCTGCCTCCCAAGTGCTGGGATTAAAGGTGAGCACTACTACTGCCTGGCCTATTCTTTGAAATTTTAAGTAAATATTTAAATATTTATTATAAAACATATTAATAAAGAATATTCAGGATTGCAACTTGTAAAGCATATAAACAATCTTGATTGTGATTATAAAAACAGACCTTTGTTTATTTTAAGGAGGTAGGGGAAACTGATGGTGTGTATCCATTATTTTCAATACAAACTTGATTTGGGGACCATTGCTAAACTTAGGTACGGTTTAATTGAGAGAATGTATTGGGCGTGATAAGTAGGTATCTTAGGTCTCCGTTTCAGTGTTCATGGAGCGGAGTTGGGATGCTGTGTGCAGTTAGGACATCCTCGTAGTCCTCCCTTCTGACTAGACTAGGAGCAGTAGGATGAGCTCAAACCTTCCGGAAATGGAGAAGTGCTTGTGACAGTGCGGACATGTGGATGAGTTGGTAGGTGCAAGCGCAAGTCGTGTTGCTCCGAGGACAGATCTGCCTGATCACCAACATGCAGCAGCCTGCTTCTTGGTGACAGACGTCCATTAGTTGTCCTTGAGGATAAATAATATAGCAAGTTTGCTCCCTCCCCTGGCTGACTTAGAATGCTCTGTGTAAAACAGACTGGCCTTGAACTCACAGAGATTCCTTGCTTCTGCCTCCAGAGTGGTGCAATAAAGTGTGCACTGCACATCTGGTCTTTATAGGAGTTGTGTAAATTATCTAGTTTTAGATCAAACAAATTTAGTGGTTGGGTTTTTTGCTTAATCTGAAACTTGTAGGAGAGAAAGGACAAAATATTACTTTCCAGTCCGGTGTTCTTTTCACCTTTTTTTGATTACTTAATAAGCAGTAGGGATCTCTCCTTAGACTCCAGAAGTAATGAGTACTTTAAAACAATTGAAAGAGAAAAAAGAAAAAAAAAAACTATCACTTGTTGATAGCTTAGGCTTCTTAAATTTTATGTTGTAGGGGTTTTGTTTTTATTTTCAAATAGGATCCTAGTTAGCCTCGATCTTGTAAACCTGCCTTGGCTTCTTGATGCTTGATCCCAGATTACATCTGGGATACAGTGTTATGCTGACACAAAATGCTGGCTTTATAGGCCTGTGTCAGCATGCTTGACATAGCTGGGCTTTCTTAGCTGATACGATATGAGGTCAAAATGCAGTGACCCCAGATGGGGCAACATGAGCTGTTTGAATCAGATTTCTGAAACTAGTGATTTCCATGATCTACTTTTTTTTTGGCAAAAAATAAATTAGATACAATCTTCTTCCTTTAGTGAGTCATTAGCACTTAAAAAGCATATAATTCTAATCAAACCAGTGACTTATTGCTAGCAAGAAAACAGCTTTAATTGCCAGCACCACCAAAGTGAAAGGGGGAAAACAAAAAGAAAAACAGCCAACAAACAACAACACCTTCCACACACAATTTTAAAGTATTTATACTTATAAAGGTAGGTGATTTATATTAATATGTGTATATACTTACACAAACAGTATTTACCACTTTCTGCTATCTCTAATAACTTGGTAGCTCCACATTTCATTTCATATTACAAGTATTTAGGAAAAACTAAGTATTTGAGTCTTGTGATTGTTAGTTTAGAAATTTAGTAGGGAGTTGAAAATACTCATACAAATACCAACAGAAATGTCCCGGGTACTTGAGTACATTTCTATGAAGTCAGTAATGTTGTTTCAAGTGTGTTCTTATTCTTACTTACCAGCAAGTGGATTATAGGTAAAGAGGTTATATGTTTTATATATTTCTCTGTGATATTTGTGCTTTTGTACTTGGTTATTTACTGTTTTTTCCCTTTCCTTGGTGGTTTTTTTTGCTCTTCTTATACCTTATATCATTTACGCTTTTCCCCCTTAATAATAGATCTTTAGACGTGACCAGGCTTTATTTTGCTTTGTCAGCATTAATATTAAACAGCAAACTAAATGTTAGAACTACATAGCATTTTAACATTGAGACCTTGATGTCCTGAACTTTCTTTTTAAAAATCAGTTTAAATGAATAAATTATTGTTGACACATTCTGAAGATGTTGCTTAAAAGTTTGATTTAAAAGTATATTTAAAAATTTTTAAGCAGTGTATTTTAATACATTAACAAATGGATTAGGTGCATTTGTTCTTAGAAGTACTTACTTATTATTTTTTAGATTTATTTTTATTTTATGTGTGCATGCATGTGCAGTGACCAAGGAAGCCAGAAGTGAACATTCAGACTTCTGGAGCTGGAGTTACAGCCACTGTGAGTCATCACGTGGGCTCTCTTGAGTCAAACCCAGGACTCTGGAAGAACGGGAAGTGCTCTTAACTTCTGAGCCATTTCTCCAGGCCCTAGAGTCACTTTTTAAGCTCTGGGTTTTCTATAGATGTCATTTGTATCCTTTATTTTGCTAATCAAAAAAGACCCTGGGAAAGACTTCTGTAAAAGACCAAATGATAAAATGTTTGGCTTTATTGTAGGCATCAAGGTCTCAATTTAACTATGGACAGACAGTCATATCGGCACATTAATAAAATTTTATTTATGGAAACAGGAGTGGACAGGTTTAACTGTGTGGTCTGCAGTTTATTTACCTCTACTCTTGGAAGCTCAGTTAGCAGAAGGAGTACTCTTTCTGCTTCCCTTTCTCCTTCTCACTCAGTTTTTAACGTAAAATATGTAGATATACTTAATCGTTTTATTCAGTCTATGTGTCTGTGTGTCTGTGTTGCTGGGGATTTAACCTAGGACTTCGTGCATGCTAGGCCAGCGCTACTGTGGAATTATACTCTCAACGCTGATTGTACATTTAAATGTTATATTTTAAACCAAGCTGTTGCAAAGGTAATTGTTTGTTATATGTTAGATGTTGTGGGAAGTGTTAATGCAGATTGCTGTGTCCCTCGTAGTATGGTTGTGCCCATGACTTTAACAATGAAACTGAGTGCCATGGAATATGCCTGCAGTTCATGCTACTTGGAAGGCTGAGGCAGGAGAATCATTTGAACTCAGATGTTCCAGAGCAACCTGTCTGAAAGCAAGCAATGAGTGAAATAATAATGCAAGGCTGTCTTTCTCTCATGCTTTTACCGACACAGTGACTGTTGCCATTCTCTTTGTCAGTCTGGTAGATGACAATCTTAACTTTAAATCTTTTCTTATTTTGTTCTAAATCTCACCATCCATAGCCTTTCCTTTACAAACTTGAGTGTTCTTTTCAGTGTGTGGTTTTGCATGTGGACTTTTGACTTTTTCCCCACTAGTATGAAGTGTTCAGGACAGAAGAGGAAGAAAAAATAAAATCTCAAGGACAAGATGTTACGTCATCAGTATATTTCATGAAGCAAACCATCAGCAACGCCTGCGGGACAATAGGGTTAATCCACGCCATTGCAAACAACAAGGACAAGATGAACTTTGGTAAATCTTTTCTGTTCAGGTTTCTCTGCAGATGTGTTAACTTATTCGACAGTAGGGGGTGCCCTGACTCTCTCAAACTAGAAAGCAGTGCCTCTCTTCTTTTGTTATGGGAATAGACACAGAGCCAGGAGCAATGTTAATCCTTCCTTTTTTTTATATATATTGTTGATGAACAGGTTGAGCAAAATACATTCATTGAACTTAGTTATTTATCCCAAGAATCTTAGATTCTTAACTTACCAGTTAAAGGATTTCTACCTAAGAAAATACTGTACTACTTCTGTTGTTAATTTTTTTCTGTAGTTAAACTTAAATTTTTAATCATTTTTGACATTCTCAGAATCTGGATCAACCTTGAAAAAATTCCTGGAGGAGTCTGTGTCAATGAGCCCTGAAGAAAGAGCCAAGTACCTGGAGAACTATGACGTCAGTACCTTCTTTCTGTCTTGACCCATCCGTGGGCAGCGTTACAGGATTATAGGTTCTGTTTAGTGGATGTCTTGAAACTATAGTTTGGGGAACATCGTTTGTCATATCCATTTCAAGGGCTTTTGTTTTCCAGGTAATCGTCCATGATATAGCTATAATATTGTCCGGTTGGCAGTTAGTTCTGTGTCCGGGGTAGAATGAACAAACAAATATAGCTTGCAAATTCATAGCTGTACTCTCGAATCTAGTTTGAAATGATTATTCTAAACATTTATTAGTTCTGAAATTCTTATTTTTCCAGAGACTTTTTGCCTTTTAGTAATATCAATAGATCATGTTCTTTGAAATTAGAAAAACAATATGGTGTACATTTATCATTGTGTTTAGTGTTCCAAAATACTTTAGTTGCTTGAAGTTTCATAAGAAATCTTTATTTTGCATAAAAGTAAAATAACATAACAGTTGCCAATAATTCCACCAGTGAACAGTAGCTATCCTTGATATTTTTATAGGGAACATAGATGTATATACACAATTTTTAAAAAAATTGATCACACTGTAATACTGTTTTATAACTTGCTTTTTTCACTTATCACAAACGTATTAACACCAGTAAGTATATGTTTAACATTATTATTCTAATGGCTGAGTAGCTTTCCATTGTATAGTATATTTAATCAGTAAAATGATGTTTCAAATCTAATAGTTTTCCTTCTTTCTTCACTATTTAAAATTATTGCAAATGTGTATTATTGTGTCTGAGGTTTTCAAACCATCCTTAATTTCATATAATCACATACATTAATATATCAACATAGTAACCCCTAGAAGAGAAATTGCTGATCAGTTTGCATGTCTTTATGGCTTTAATACTTATCACCTAATTGCTAAACATAAGTTATACTTTCACCCCTGATTTTCTATTGTGCCCATTTTTCTGCATCTTTGATAATAGTGGGTATGATTAGAGCATTTTAAAATTCAGATAGCTGAATTTCCTAGCTTCTCATAAACGCATGCCTTTTGCACCATGTTATTTAATTGCTGACTGAAATGCATGACTAAGCATAAATTCAGCCAGAGCTGCAGGAGCATGCACCTTGGAGAGACAGATAAAATCAGCTTCTTCAGTTTCTGTGAGCTGCCCACTTTATTCCAGGCTCAAGGGAATAAAGTGTTAAGTGTGGCCTCTAACATTTAAGGAAGCTAAATGACCGTCTACTTGCACTGTGCAAGTTAGAAACTGTGAGCTAGTCGGTTTCCCAAAGCTTAAGAGATTTGTGAGTCAAAGGGACAGCAGTGATTTGCTTACCTAGATACAGTTCTGAAAGGCGTAGTGCTAAACTGCCCCTAAAGTTCTTCCAGTTTCCTGCCCCATTACAGGATTTTAGATGGGAAAAGTTGAGCTTTGTTTCATTTAAAAGTTGGATATAGTTTTATGTTTTGTAAACAGTTTATATTCTTGTTACAGGCTATTCGAGTTACTCATGAGACCAGTGCACATGAAGGTCAGACTGAGGTATTTCACATTTCTTTTAAAAATGTTGCTGTGTGTAAATTTGACCTTATATTGGAGAACTTGTGGTTTTGGAAAAGCATTTGACTATTCAGGTTTTCTTTTTGTTTTTCCTTAGAATTTGCTTATGCAACAGCAGTAGTCAGAGTGATAGCAAAAGAAATGTTTTTTTTCCAGGCTGCTAACATGCTACATGGATGTCTGGTCCACATTGCCGGATCCTTTCGCAGGTTGCAGATTGTGCGTTCTTTGTTTTACTCAGCAGGTGGTCTGCTTCTTCCCGACTTCCACATACACCAGTTTTTATGTATGGTCTTTGGGCATCACTGTCATGTCTCACTCCCAGGACAAAGAGAAGGAAGAGGTGCTCAGGGACTTTGTTCTGCTTCACCATGGTGGTCTTCAGGTTTGCACTGCAGCAAGTCCTGCTGGGTCACTCTGATCACTCTTGCCTGTTTCCTTTCCTCACTTCTCCATTCCACGTCTTCTCTACTCTTCTCACGCCCTTACTCTCGAAGGAACTTCGTCAGAAAAGATTCAGTCAGAATGAAAGGAGTTTTATTAATTTGGTTGGCACCAGGATAGTGTACATTTTCTTCATATGTGTCTTGAAATCACACCTTTTAGAGAGGTGATTGTTTTGAAAGAAGGGAACCAGTGGAAGGGAGAAGACGTGGGTGCAAAAAGAGGACAGCAAGGGAGAACGTGATAAAGTGTGTTATATGAAGGTCTATTATGAAAATGTCATAATAAAACTCGTTGTTTTATACAGTTAATGTATATTAAAAACCAGAAAAGTCACATTTTCATATGTAGGATGATATTGCTTATTGGCTTTAAAAATACTTGGAAAAATTACATAATTAAGAAGTTGATTTTTAGATTATTATTAAACCTCTTTTTTAAAGGTGAAAATACTTTGATACTGTGATATAACTATAATTATTCTTCTTTCAGACTGCATGACTGGGTGTTTGACTAGTTGGAGCACTAGGAGTCCTTGTAATTGTCCCTTCTAAGCTGCTCTCCATCTCTTTCAAAGTTGCAGACTTGAGTTTTCCTCAGTTTACAGTAGGAGGTGACCTGGATATTCAGTGCTCCTCTTGTTTACACGCTTACTGGATCCTAAGAGCGTTTTGGTTGCAATGTTGTTTTGGCATTAAGATAACTGGGGATGAGTTGGATCAATATAAGATTATTGTACTTCCGGAATATTTGCCTCGTGGTGCCTTCTTTCATGTCCTTTCTGGGTCTTCATCCAAGTTGTGGCTTTAGTACCTGAATGATAGTCACATCTGTTTTCGTTCAGGCTGACACTCCATTGTCCTTTGTGATCGTGGATGCCAGTTGGCAGTCACGGGAATGATCTGCTGACATTTTAGAGTGTGTTGTCCTTGTTCGAGGTTATTATACGTGCCTTCTTTTCTGCCCTTTATTTTCCTACAGTTTTAACTCCATTATATTTCCTGAAATGTAATTCAATTGGAGACTCAAACTTTTGTTTTCCTACTGCAGTGGCTCTCAAAGGTGGAGTGGGAGGAATGCAGCAGTTTTTAGAGGCTTCTCAGGCCTTTCTCCCAATGAAGTTAATCGCCTTACTACTTTCTCATATCTCACAGTCACACTCACTGTTAGAGATATGTTGTTTATGTGTGTAATGACTCTAACACATACTGGGTTGAAAAAATAGTTTGAGGGCCATTCCTCAAGTTTCTGTGTCAGTTTCAGCCTCTTTAAGGCTTCTTCTAACCCCTACTGCTTTGGCTATTTTTCTGAAAATATTTCTCTCTACCAATCTCTTATTTTACTGATATTTTTCTTATAATTTCTCTTTATGAAAACATTTCTTCTCTTAAAATCTGCATTTCTGATTTCTACTTAACTTTCAAATTAGCTTCAATGTGTCCCTCTAAATAAAGCACTTCTTATATTCTGGATATGTTTTATCTATTCTATGCTCTCTTTCATGTGACTTCAATATTTTGCATTTATTTATTTTCATATTCCTTTTTAGCTATTAAAAATGTATTTTTTTCAAGCCAAATGTGGAAGTGTAAGCATACAATTTTAGCACTTAGAAGACTGAGGCAGGAATATCAGCACTTACCAGGAAGAGCACTTACTGTTCTTCCAGACCCACAGCAGTTAGGTCACGGGCTTGTTCCTAAAGTTCCAGGTTGTCTGAGTCCTCCTCTGCTCTCTGTGGGTACTACTTGCTTATGGTGCAAACAGTCAGACACACACCTTTAATCTGAGCACTTATGGGAGGCAGGAGCAGGAGAATCTCAGAGTTCTAATCCAGCCAGATCTACATAGCAAGCTCCAGACTAGCTAGGGATAAACAATGGAACAAAAGACAAAAATCTTAGTTTTTTGGAGTTCTACAGTAAACATTTTCACTAGAACATATATAACATTTTTATATAGTTTGGTTCCTTGTTTTGCGGGGCTGATTTGAATATTACAAGATGATTACTAGTAGCTCCTAGTAATTATTACAGTATTGCTCTTCCTGTTTATATTTTTTGTCACTGCTTTTGTCATTTCCTACGAGAGACCTAGGTCTTCCAACCCAAATTAGTTTGCTTGGGTTACCACAAAAGTGTAGTTGAATGGCTTAAACAGCAGAAACTTTTTCCTTCCCAGTTTTGGATGCTGAAAGTCTGAGATAAAGGTGCTGTCAGACAACTCTCCTAGGCTTGCTGATAGCTTTGTGTGCATTTTGCGAGTTGACGAAGGTAGAGGGAATGATGGAGGAGAGAGCAAGAGAGAATGAGAATGAGTATGAGTGTATTTGGTGTCTCCTTCTTTGTATGGTCTGATTATACCATCCTATGACCTGCTTGTTTTACTTTACTTTGTGTTGCTATGATAAAGTCACTGATTAAAAGCAACTTGGGAGGAAAGGGTTTATTTTACCTTCACAACTTGCAGTCCATCATGAAGGTAAGTCGGAGCAGGAAGTAGGGCAGGAATCTGGAGGCGGGGACTAAAGGAAAGATCATGAATATTGCTGATTGGTTTGCTTCCCGTGGTTTGCTCAGTCTGCTTGCTTGCTTATACAACCCAGGACCACCTTCCCTGTGATAACACCACCCACAGTGGACTAGGCCCTTACACATTAATCGTTAATGAAGAACATGCTGTGCAGGCTTGACTAACTACAAGTCCAGTAGATAGAGGCATTTTCTCAGTTGAAGTTATTCTTCAACTTGATTAAAACAAAACTTGATTAAAACAAAAACAAAAACCCCAAAAAACTTGTCAGGACACTATCAAATAGTAGAAATTTTGTAATAGAACTTCAGTTCTAGTATGATCATCAGCCCAATACCATATTTGGACTTATTTTATAACCTAGCACACACAGGAATGATCCAAGAATGCCCCCTTTATTGTGTCCACGGCCAGCTTATATAGGGATAGCCATGCCCCAGCCAAATGCACCAGAAACCATTCCCCTGCCATCAGGAACTCCTGCGGGTCTTGTGCTCAGAGCAGCTGCAGGCATTACAAGTTGTTTACCAGAAATTCAGGATCTGGGGGTTCACAGCTCCCAACACTGATAGACATGGTAAGGGGAAAAAGACAAGATCTTCTGAGTAAATTGGAAGCATGAGGACCATGGGAGAGAGTTGAAGAGGATGGGGGCGAAAGGGAGCAGGGAGGAAAGGAGGGAGTGGAGAAAAATATCTAACTCAATAATAAAAAAAAACAGAAAGAGAGGAAAAATGATGCTTTTGATGACATGAGTATTGTTATTTGTAAATGAATAGTCCGCAGTGCGGTAATGAAAAAAGTCTGCAAGTTATACGTGGAGACAAGAAAGAAAAATCCAAGTGTACTTTGCCTTCCGACTATTTTCATGTCGTTTGCCAAAGAACCTCCATGTAATTATTTTTATTTTTTTAGCTTACAAAAGCATATTATTTTTTTATGCTTTTAAATAAACATGCCAAAATCAAAAGTTTACAAAAATACATTTAGCATTTAGTTACATACTTAATTTCAACCTTTTAGCATAATCTAAACAGTTAAGAAAAAGGAGCTTTTCTTCATATCTTAGTATGAATATTTTCTTATTCAAAACTTTTTCAGAAATAATTCTTTGCATACTTTCAGGCGAGTAAATCAAATTACTTTCCAGTTCCTCAATTTTGATGTTTATATTTTTAGTTTTTCAAAGTAAATATAGACTTTATTAAATATCATTTTTTTTACCTAAGTGTTCATTGTAGATTCTTCCAAAGAAGTTTCTCTTAGGTGTGATTAAAGGATAGACATTGTTAAGGTTTTCAGTTCATAACATAAATTGTTCTTCCATCTCTTGGCCACTAAGGAACTGAATTGAGCTTATACTGTGTCAGAGACTGTGCATTGCAAATATGAATAAGAAATAGTTTTTGTCTTCAGAGGTCTTTTATTTCAGCCACTAATGACTTTGAGCATAGCTAATGCTAGTATTAAATTCTTAAATGTTACCTTTTAAAATGGATTTTTAAATTCTTTCATATATGTAAATAGTGTATTTTGTTACCAGTGTTAAATTCTATTTTAAATTTTGCTTTTTGACAGAGGGAAATAATGTTTCCTTTCTAATATCTCTTAAAAGATCTTTAGTAAGTTTGTGAAATGAATTTAAGTCACAAAATCAAATTTAATATTTAATGAAAGTATAATGTAATCTGGCCTTGTTAGCGTTGTTGACTTTTAAAAGCAAGTCTATTTAATCTTTGGGTAATGCTTTGATTTCAAGTATATAGTAACAGATAGTTTTTTATAATTAGAATATACCACACACAGTTGAATCTCAGTATTTCTGGTAGACAGATTGGTTCCAGGAACACTCTAGATAACAGATTCCTTGTGTGAAATATTTATTTAACTTTTATTTGTTATTCATTTTATATGCCCTCTAAGTACAATGGTTTAGTATTTGCATATAATCTATGCATATTTTCTTGTATTCTTAAAATCATCTGTGGATTGCTTACTAATAGATA